CCGTCTGCAAATTTCTGTTTTGTGATTTTGATTTCGAATTTTAGAGGGGATACCCGGGTTTTTTTGAAAAAGCTAATTTCGTTCATGTAAGTTGTTGAAGAAATTTTTTGCATAATTTTTAAATTTTTATGTTCAAAAAATTTCGAATTTTTCGAATTTCAGAAATGAATTTTTCTTTTTTTTTCCAATAATTTGTAGATTCGTTCCAGTTTCATTTGTAGATTTGCTGGGAGTTTTGGAAATAAATTTTTCTTTTTTTTTCCAAAAATTTTGTAGTTTCGTTTTAGCTTAGTGAGGGGATTGTATATTTTTATGAAAGCATTCATTTTAATAAAACTAAAGTTTTTTTTTTGTGTTTTATAGATTTGGAATTGGGATAATTCATTTAGTGAAATATATTGGGAATGCAGATCAGAGGGAAGCAATACGTGAGATGTTAAGAACTGATAAAAAGTGGAATGTCATGCTTACAACATATGAGGTTTGGTTTAATAAAAAAAAATTTGAACTTTTTTTGTAAATCTAATTTGATTTCATACTGTATCTGCTTTTTATGCCTTTTTTGCATTTTTACAATGCAGAAAATGCATACTGACGAAAGGTTGTGTGTGTGTGTGTCTGTCTGTGTGTGCGCTGTGTGTCTGTACCGACTTTTTATCTCGAGACCTACAAAAGCTTTGGGAACAGAGCTGAAACTTTGGGAATTTAATCTACACGCGTATGCGGGCTCCCATATCCAAAATGGGCGCTCTTAGCCGCGTTTTGCTTACGTACGGGTCCGCGAAAGTTTTTTTCGGGTAAGTTGCTAACTCGGGGACCTGAAAAGCTAGAAGACTAGAATTTTAGGGGAAAAAACTGGTTCCGGTAACAACAAAAATTGCGGAGGACTATGCAAAAAATGCATCTTCGCGTCGTGGTGCACTGGCCATTTATTTTTTCATACCATCAGTGTCATTAAAATTACTGAATTTTATCGGTCATCAAGGCGGTTATCCGTTGGGCTTGGCTTTTTTGTACAGTCTTTTTTTTCTTGTTGTGGCCGAGAGATAAGCTTGATTTTTTTTTTTTCATCAGATACTTACAGATGCTAATCCGTGAAGAGCAATATTTCAAGCGAATCTGGTCCGCAGTGTTTGTGGATGAAGCGCATCGTTTGAAATCAAACAAATCCATTCTACATCAAATTATGCATAAAGTTAGTGTGTGCTTTTGAAATAACCTATTTTCAAAAAATA